TAATGATGGCTGTCCAGATAGCTCAGTGAATTAAAGTGCCTGTTTTAGCAGACACAGGGACTGGGGTTCAATCCCTGCCTCCACATGCTGTGCCAGCCCCATCCATGGAGCACACTGAGATGGCTATTGAGCCTGGGCATGGCGGTACACCTGTAATCCCAGCTCTTGGGAGGCTGAAAACAGGAGGATCATTACTGTGTAGTGAGGGGCCGGGGAGATGGCTCAGTGTAAACCCTGTACTAAATACATTTTATTTATTTATTTTATTTTATTTTATTGGTGGAACCGGGGATTGAACTCAGGCCCTTGCGCTTGCCAGGGAAGCGCTTATTCCACTGAGCCATCTCCCCGGCCCCGTAAATACATTTTAAAAAAAGAAGATATAATAGAAAATAAGCAGAAAAGTCATAAAGTCATGCAATATAAAAGAATGAGAACTATTGTACAAGCCTGAAAAACCTAAATTTAAATTCTACTCTAAAAATTAATTAGCTAAATGTTGAGTAAGTCATTTCACCACTGGTCACTGGTATTATTGTGAAAAATAACATGACTTGGAATAAGGAATATCTCTGTGCATTTGAAAGAAAAAAAGACAAGAAATAGAACGCAAGTTGAATTTTACTAAGAATTTACTCTATTAAAAAAAAAAGATACAAAGAAAAGTAGGCCCACAAAAAGTCCATCCAATTGAATAAGCAAGTTAATATACTCAAACAAAAAAGTTTCATTTGAATAGATTTTTAAAATACATTGGTAGAATTGGTAGCTAGTGTTTTATTTAGGATTTTACATATCTATTTTTCCAAATGAAAGTGATCTATGATTTTCTTTTCCTATCCTTATTGGGTTTTGGAATCAATGTTCAATTACTTTATACAGTAAGTTGACCTTAGTACATTTATGTGTTTTAAACAGTTTCTTATGGGCCGGCCAAATAGCTCAGCGGATTAAAGTGCCTGCAAGCAGGCACAAGGGCGAGGGGGGGGTTCAATCTCTGGGCCTTCCATGCTGGCTCCGCCCCCGGGGGGGTGCACTGAGATAGCAATTGAGGCTGGGCATGGTGGTGTGAGCCTGTAATCCCAGCTCTTGGGAGGCTATAAACAGGCAGATCACCACAAGTCTGATCTAGTAGTGAGACCCTGTAGACCCTTCCCTAAAATACAAAAAGAAGTTTCTTAAATTTACCCATATGTCTTTCTTTCATAGAAGCCAATTTTCTTAGCATAACCTCATGTTTTCTCTCCATTCCTTCCCCCATGCCACACACACTATGTTGATACATTCCAGAATTCTAGTTTTGCATTGCTCTGTACATTTGTTTTCTATTCATTAATTGATTGAGATACTGAAGATTGAATACATTGCCTTCACACTGGGCTACATACCCAGACTTTTCCTAATGTATTGTGTTTGTTTCTTTCAAGTTAGGGTGTTGCTAAACCACAAAGTTTCCTGGTCGGGTTTTAACTTAATCCATCTATTTTAGCATCTCTCAGAGCTAGGATTACAGGAACACACCACCATGCCTTGCTATTTATTTTTAAAAAAATTTTATTAGTGTATATTTGTAGTACATATTGATTCATTATATTCATCATGGGGAGTTGGTCCATGTATAAAACCCATCTTCATTTTTTTTT